ACACCATTCGTGGAGCTGAAAGCAGTGCAGTAGCTGGGCCGCAGGGCCCTAAGGGAGTGTCCGCTCTTTATGTAAGTGTGCATCTCTATGGGACTGTACAATGTACAGTGGAACCCACTATTAGGGAGAACACAGCCCAGCGTTGCAGCGCTCCGCGCATGGGCCAGTGCAGCTCCATGGCAGCGTATAGACATGACGTGGCGCAGGAGCACGCGGGTACGCCGCTGTTGGACTGCAGTGGAGCAAGACCACCCGTGTACTATACAAAGCGGCGTGGTTTAGTCTTCGAATCATGTAGAACTCTCTTCATAGTTTGCCAAATAATGAATGAGCGTACTGAAGAAGATGAGGAAGACAACACCACGGGCTGGTGCTGGGATAGGGATAGCTTTGCATTTCCAGCTTTTACGTGATGCGCTTGTGTAGGCGGAAGTCGGTCAAATTCACGAGAAACCGGGTTGATACGAAACAGCTTCTACAGAACCCGAAGGTGGCGGGATCAAATCCCGTCTGCGGCGGCTGCATTTTCGATGGAGGCGAAAATGCTACAGGCCTGTGTGCTCAGATTTGGGTGCACGTTAAAAAAACCCAGGTGGTCGAAATTTCGGGAGCCCTCCACTACGGCGTCTCTCTTAATCATATCGTGGTTTTGGGATGTTAAACCCCACATATCAATCATCAATCAGCTCCCGCGGTGAAAGAATGTCTTTCTGGGCTGCGAGCCAGCAATGAAGCCCGCCCACGTCATAAAGCCGGAGTTCCAGCGGGCTTATTTCTTTCAGGTGGACGCACATTTGGAGGATGATCAGGTCCTTTGCTGTATTTCCGACAACGCTAGTCTTCGATACCCATGTTACTCAGGGAATGTAGTTTTGCATAATGTAACTTCACGAGTGCTGTACCCAATGCATTGAAGTCCCTTGTCGTGATACCTTAAGGAAACCTATCCTGGTACCTAAGCTAGCACTGTCTTTTTCTTCGGAGTTATCTTCCAGCTACTCCCTTGCGTTTATAGCACCAGTATATCGTTGTTGATTGGAAGCTTTTTTTCATAGCGAATGTTTTTAATCAACACGCCTGCTTTTTGCTGACCGAGTGATGCACCATAAGTCGCGTCCGAGGCCGGATTCGTTTTGTAACTACCGATAGGTTATCAATCGTGTCACTTTTGAATAGTGCTATTGCACATTCATTACAAATTGGGGATGATTATGGTACGCACTCTTTTTCACATGCTCCCTTATTGAAAACAAGGCCCCTGCGCTTTTGCAGTTACTCAGTCGTCTGGTTTGCGTGCTCGACGAGGCAGGTTCCATTCAGGCCATAGTGGCCACATTACCGTAGGAATACACGCGCTAAGTTTCGTGTACGTTTGTATTTATAATCATAATCAGCTTGATTACGCGCACTGCAGGACAAAGGCCTTTCCCATGTCCCGCCAGTCAACTTGGTAGTGGGCCACTTTATACCCGGAAACTTCCTTATCTTATCTGCCCACCTTATTTTCTGTCTTCTCCTCACCTGTTTGCCTTCTCTGTAAATCCACTCAGTTAACCTTAATTACCAATGGTTCTTTTGCCTACGCGCCGGGCCCATATTCATTTGTTCTTCTTTATTTAATTATGATATCTTTAGCCCCAGTTTGTTCCCTGACCCACTTTGCACTTTTCTTGTCTCTTAAGGTTACACCCATCATTTTCATTTTCATCACTCGTCGCGTTGTCCTTAGTTTAAGTTGAACCAACTTTTTAAGCCTGGAGGTTTCTACTCCGTAAGTACTGGCAAGACGCAGCTGTTATTCACCATCCTTTTGAGAAATAGTGGCAGTCTACAATTTCTGAATTGCGAATGCTTGACGAATGTACTCCCCTCCATTCTTATTCTTCTAGCTACTTACAATCTTAGTTTGGCTACGCGGTTACTACCCGTCCTAAGCAAGCGCACTCTTTAACAACTTCAATTGCACTGCTACCTATCTCGCAGCGCTCTACTTTTCCGGGGTTGTACCTAGATAAACGTTTGCCGTAGATAAAAGTAATACATGCAGAAAAATAGAGTCATAGGCCGGGCTACGACATTTTTATTCTTCGTACCGCAGCTTGCGAGTGTTTTGCTTTTAATTCTTAGAATATTTCACAGTAAATTCATTATTGCCTCGAGTTCGTGTTTTGCCTTGTTTAGCAAGTTGGTTATTCGAATGAGAGGAACTTGAGCACACACGAAAAGGCAATGCTCTCAATATGCGCCAGAGCATCTCCGCTAACCATCCTACTGCTCATCAGATTGCTTTCTCGGGTGGATTATACAGCATGGCGTACTCGATATCAATCGGCAAGCACATAACTCCTACCGAATACGTTGGCTGGCTAGCTGCCGGTAATATAGCGCTTACGCGTATCTAGAACAAAACTTCACCACGAAGATTAAGACTGGACAAAACGCTCAACATTGACAAACACTCCAACGGCGTAGGAGCGCCTTGTCTCATCTTCCTTCCTAGGGAGCAGTCTTGCCCTAAATATGTAGTATCGTTCGTACGTAAGAAGTTTGTTGGTTTCAACGATTACACTCATCGTCACACAAGTCCACCGCGGTGATGTATCAGTTGCGGTACTCGGATGATAACTGAGAAGACTGCTGGTGAGATCCCGGCCGTTGTAGGGACATTTTCTCGGAGGCGAAGTCCCAGAGGCAGGTGTACTGCGAGATGTTGGTGCTCGTTTAGGAATAGCACTTAATACTCAAATTGTGCGCCTTCCACAATGGCGTGCTTCATAATCATATCGTCATTTCACCCTTTCAGGCGCCAGATGTTAGTTTTAGTTCCAGGAAAAACGTACCATGCCTAAAACGAGCGTACAGGGAAGACATGATGAGGCGGTCGATATTTATTGTTCCTTGATAACTACAGCTGGAATTTCAGCAGATGCCACGAGAATCGATGCCTTGCGAAGCATGCGGAGGGAAGTAGACTGTGGTCCTTTTTTTTCTCCTGAGAACAGTGTTACGAAACAACGCTCAACACATATGTACACATGTGATACCCACAAGTCATGTATGTTGGACAGCCACATATGTTACGGACATTGGTTGTTTACAGTTCCGTAACAATGCCACGAGCAACATTGTCACTCTCAACACCAAAAGCTGTAAGCTGATAAGCTGAGCTTGTGCTTGCGAGGATGACAGCCGTAGATAGTGCTACGTGGGCCAACTTCAGTTGGCCATTACCTACACTTCACGCTAACCCGACGTGACGCCTGTATCATTGCAGTAGATGCGTAAGGCTTATAAATTGGATGGGCAGCACTGCTACAACAATTACGTTTCACAATCATTACGCCACTAGAGTGCCTTTTCCCAAAGCAGGGCCGAGACCTAGATTGGCTCTGTGAAAGAATACTTGATTGCCTCTCAGAATTCTCAGGTTCGATTTCTGCTGCGACCAAAACATTTATATCTATACGTTCGTCAGACCAGCGCAGACAGACAGGGAATTAACTTTATGGAGCTCGAAAATTAAATGGTGCGTATTTGCACCAGACGGGGTGGTTCTTTATTCTCAAGACCGATACGTTTCAGCCAGTGTCAGCTGGCTGAAACATATGGACATCAATCCGGGAACGGGCACCAATAAACTGCTCTCTAAAACAGCCTACGAACGGCGGTGACGAAGCATATGCTCTTGGCATGACACATATAATATATGTTATATTTTCCGACCTCACCTTTGTTCTTGGCTTGAGTATTACATGCACTACGTATTTTTATTGCCAGCCACGTCACCGTCAATGCTGCCCGATGCGCCCTCTATTGAGCGCCCACACTGCTCACGCTCCGGTCAAGGATCGATGCTGCAAGAGAGCTTCGCCACATCGCGCATAATGCAACGCTTACGTACTGGACTTCTCGTTTGAACTCCACTTGTCACCCACTAAATGTCGATATATTACTCCATCAACAGCTGCCGTCAAAAACTGCGCTACCTGACGCTACAATGCTATGTCGGTTGTGGCGTAACCTTTGCCAACCTATTTAGCTATCGCACTAGTATGGCTGACTCAACCAAGTGGGTCAAGTGGGACTGTGTTGAAACTTTTTTACCATGTCTTGTGTGACTGTCTCGACTTTGAAAAAGATCGCCGGGCTCTACAGTGTGCCTCCAGAATGCTGGATGAACGCGCCTTTACTCAGGGAAATATCTTGAGTGCATAGTCGTGGTTGGAAAGACTTACGAGCTCTTCATAGTTCTTGAAAGCAAAATGACTGAGCGACCACCTTTGCAACTCTCCACTATATGTGTGTTTTGCAATGTGCACCTTTCTCGCTTCCTCTCTCTCTCTCACACTTCATTACCCCCCTCTCCTTGTGTAGGGTAGCAAAATATATTTATTACAGGTATCCCTCCAACTTTTTATATATATTTTTTTTCTCTCTTACTACTAATCCTTCAGTGATAGTATTAAAAAGACGAAATGTAACATATGAGTGATGTCCCCAAATATTAATCAAATACGGGCAGTATCGGTAGTAACAAGTAAGAAACTATAAGTGCTGTATTCTCCTAGCTAAAAGTGGATAATGCATAGTTCACACTCACGCGGGGCTAATAGAATGAGTACCAAGTGGCAAAAGTCGGCTACTACTCAACTGAGGTGAATATACGTTGGGAAATATTACTTCATAACAACAAAAACGCACTTGGAATAGTCTCTTATCTTTATCACAGTTCATAATTTTCTAGACTTGCTAAACAAATAAAACATTTCAGCTATTTCGAAGAGCTGATACTGCATATTTTTTATTGCATAAATACAAACTTAGCTGTCTGTGGCTTCTTTGAACGACGGCTGCATCCGTTTGTAGACAGAGATTCAAAAGAACGGAGAAATGGTAGATATATCTGACCGTATTAATGTCAAGAAAGCTAGTTAGAATACAATGTCTCATCGGAAGCAGATTAAATGGCACACTGGTCAACAAACAGAACGATAACAAAGTGTGATTGCAAGCGAGTTTATTTAATGTAATGTGGCTAGGACACCTTAGGCTATACTTGAATCCTGAGTGACTTTCACAACTCGCTTCAGAAGAGTAAAAGGTACACATGATCTTTTATGCGTGTCACTTAAGCTTGTTTAAGTAAACATTTCAATGACTTTGTTTGCACCGCCTTCAGCAGTCTCGGCTGATCAACTTTGTAAGCAGCACAGATGCACATTCAGAAGTGAAAAAAAAAACCTTAACGTGAGGAGCTAGTAGAAAAACTTGAAGCACACTTCTAGTTTGTCGTCTTGAACGCTTACACCGTGTTCGAGATCCACGATGCCAAAACGCTGGGTCAGAAATGACCCAGATTTGGCGCGATAGAGCTCGTGTTCTGGGCCTCTTCTCCCTTCGCTGAGGAACACGATCTTCATTGTTTTGGGTGAGGCCGTGAGAGTAAAGCCTGACTGTGCAGACACACAAGGCCAAAACTGAAATCGCTGTCTGCTATCTGGACAAGCAAGTATAGCCAGGTATATCTTGTATCTATGAGCAACAGTGACATGCGCGCCACACTTTATGAACCTATTAGCTTCAATCTTGTGTAGGATCTTCGACCAATTACGAACGCCCCACAGCACTTCGATTGGCCCTCTAAGTCCATTTTCAATGACACTGGTGAATCCCGTCAGTATAATTGTTTCGTCATCGCATATTGCTGTGCAAGTGAGTGAGGAGACTCTGAGAACCTCTACGAACGCTTCTTCGGCCTCACGTGTTCGTATGTTTGCTTCATTGTGGACATCGTTTTCCTCTTCTAGTTTGCTAGCGGCTACTTCACGATGGACTTTGTTATCTGCTTCCTCTAGTTTGCTTGCGGCTACTTCACAATGGACTTTGTTCATTTCTTCTAGTGCGCATGAAATGCTTCGCAGTTCCCTCTGCAACGACTGCAAGTTCCCAGCGTGTTCATCAAGCTTCCTATTTTTGTGGTGATTCGTTGCTTCGAAATGACACACCTCGTTGGCGATCCTTTTGATTTCTTCCAACTCCACGCACAGCTCCACTCCAAAATTCCTCAATTCCGCTCTCTGATTCACGTGCCTTTCGCTGCTTCTTTCCACCTCACTAGAAGCCTGCATTGTCATCCGTGACACTTTCTCTACTTCATCAGCCATCGCCAAAAGTGGGTTTAGATAGTGTTCGTTGTTTGCTGTGATTTTCTGAAGACTTGATGACGAAGAAGCATCATTATGGCTTGCGCTTCGAAAGGCCGACTCCAAGGAACAAAGACCTTCTCGAAGGCATTCAACGTCCTTCGAGACATCCTCTCTTTGTGGCGTACTCGACTGTCTGTGCAGGACATAGTTGGTGCAATGTGATTGAAGGTGTGCGACAATATTTTTTCGAAGAACCATCGACGAACACTTCGCACAGCGCGTACAATGGTGGGCACAGTCTCGGTGAAAGTGCTCTGCTAAGCTCGATACATCAGTGATGGTCTCACATCCGTATGTTCTGTTCCAGCAGCTGACCTATAAAGAAAAAAAAGAGGTTGTCGGTCATCCCGAGAAACAGCAGGAGCGCGATATAAGAAGCACATTTTGACCCAATTGACGTTACCACGTCTTGATACCAGAACCTCGTATGCCGCTTGTGAATCGGACCTTAAGCTAATAGCAAGCGTGATCTAAACGACACAAAAGGTTGAAGCAGTTGTCTTTGTGGAACCCATGCAAATAAGAAAACAAAAATCGCAACGTTCACGTGACAGAAACAAATATGAAAACGAAAGCGCGCACATTACGCGGCCACTCGGTTAATTAGAGTGATTAGTTCTTATCTTCGACAATATTCCCGACAGTTACTAAACCTAGTTTTGAAAGCAATGTATCCTAATAAAGTTTTCATCATTGTACTGCGTACTTTAGCAATTTACTGCAATTACATCCTTCAGAATGTATTTTCTACAATGCTTTTTGTTAGAAGAGTGCACTAGAAACTGTTGTAGTACTAACCTGTACTGGTACACTCTACTGGAAGTATGTCGAGTTGCTGCTTTGCCCAAAACACTGTCATGCACTGTGCTAACTTTCCAGTGCGTAAAGTAAACAATAAAGATCCCTGGTAGCAAGTCAAGTGCATAAAGTTCTCGACGTCACTGAATGGTCAACTATTTGTGCTGTTGGGTGCTTTCCTTAAATGTAATCTTCGTTGAAACGTTGTTCCTTTCAGTAGCTTCTTTGCGGTCGCCCCTCGAAGTATTGCCCGGACCCGGAAACTCGGCACTAGTTTTTGTTTCAGGAAACATGTGTGCTCGTAGCGGTTGGCGGGCATCTTGAAATCTGGTTGAGTGAAATTAGGTTAACGTGGATGTTCGCATTTGATGTCTTTCACCAGTTTTTACGCATAAACTAATTTCAATCAACTGTAAAGCAGTCATCGTTCGTTTTTTTTTTATTCTCTATCTTATACGTTATGAAACGTGTCATGCGCTAGAAGACTCGTGTTTAGCACTTGTCTCCGCCCCCCTTGCCACTTGCTCAGTTATATCACATGTTGGATCGTTCTGTGTTGTTTCGTTCGGTGAGCGTATCAAGTATAATTAAGGCAAAGCTAAGACATTTCATGTAGCTTGCAACTAACGAAAGCCGCAGTAGGCCTTATAATTCAGGTCAGTCATGCATTAGACCAAGATGGCTAAATAGGGGGCTCACATGTTTTGTGTTTCTCTACAGTGTGTTCGTATCCTCTCTCTCATGAGGATACGAAGAGGGCACAGCATTGACTACGTATGCAGCGCAGAACATTTTCCAGATCAGCGAAGCGTTTCGAGGTTTCCTAGTGGCCCGTATGAGCACAAGAAATTTCGACTCAATACTTGAGCAGGAATTGATTTTGCATGAGTACATGACTAAACCCACTTTTCTGCAAGCCTGACTGGACTGAGAGCAGTGCAGTGTCGCTAGACTAATTGGTCAAGACGGCGGCCAAGTTTGCTGTCGGCAAAGTGTGTTTGATGAAATGCTTGAATTCATGTTGGCTAAGCTGAAGAGTTTTTGATTCTTTTGCTTGTGGCGTGTAGTTCAAATGATATCATGTAATTATTGGCTCTTTCCTGTTCATAAAATTTGTGTAGCCGGGGTTTGAGTTTTTACGTTAATACCGTATGTCAAATACTTGTGATTGACTAAATGCTTCTAGAAATCATTACAGTGAATGTTGCTAGAGCCAACGTTTTGAAAAGCGAGCTTTTCTTCGTCAAGGCAACGCTGTTGCCCTGACGAGGACAAGTCAACTTGCCGAAACACTGTTTCCAGTGAAGTTCTTTCTCAGAAAACTTCTGACTGCTTCAAGCCTCTCCGTGCCTCTGAACTTCAGTCTCGTTTGGTGCTCAAGTTCTGTAAAAAAACTATGCGCGCCGTCATAACAAGCGAGACTGGGTGAAATATGCTGCTTCCTACTGACGATCGGTGATAATTTTTGCATTGGTTCGCTTATTGTGGTTTCAATGTTCGCTCACTATGCCCATGTGTCAGTTGTGAACGAAAGCTGCCAATATAGATTGACAGTTTTACACTACGTGTATGCTTCTGTTTTATTTTTTTATACAAAACGTGCAAAAAAGAGCTCATTTGATTTGTGCCAATCGAGTTTAGTTTGACTGTGAAACCAGCCAGCTTCAGTTTTGCCACTTCAGAACACACAAACGAAAATGGTAAACAAAATTTTGCTAATGGCTGCATCGCCCAAGCAGCCAGCGGACCTGAAAGAAGGCAGGAGCGCGTTCCGCTTGCATGCGACCTTAGTAAGAAGGGCTTCTACTGCAACCCTCCTCCTCTCGATTTTTTCGTCTTTTCTCTCTATTTGGTGACCTCACTAGTGACGTCATCAAAGGAATGTTCTGTTCATTATTTTTTTATAGTAGGGTCCCCGTCGGCCACCAGTGGTAAAAGCAGCGCTGCCACTTCATGTCAGCATGTGAGGGCGAATACATGGAAGGTATAAGAAGTTTCCGCCCCCTGGTATCGCTAGGTGCATTAGCGATAACTGCGGCCGTAAGATAGTGCAATGCCAATGCGCGTGTTTACTGTCGTTTATCGTAATGCAGCACGGCTTTGCGTAGACAGCGTCTGCTTAGTGTCGTCTTTTCCGAACGTACTAAACTATGAATGCCGTAATAATGGAAGGAGCAACTCGCAATAATGAATGAAACATGGACAATCCGCACTCGTCTTTAAGGGGAGAAGCTCCTTAGGGCGTGGGCTGTGCGTCCCCTGTAGCCTGTATGTAGCCACCTCTAGTTTAGTTCTTGCAGTGTTCACTAGATGGCGGTACCGTCCCCTGTATGTAGCCAACTCTAATTTAGTTCTTGCAGTGTTCACTAGATGGCGGTACCGTCTCCTGTATGTAGCCACCTCTCGTTTAGTTCTTGTAGTGTTTACTAGATGGTGGTACTTGTAGCTGATGATGAAAAGATGCAAGATGAACTAGAAAGCGGTACTTGTAGTTGATGAAAGACGCGAGATCTTATAAAATAGGAATGATGTCACAAATTGATTTGTGTATATACACACACAGCGTTTCTCACGTCTTTACATGATGATCGACTGGGCGAATTACACGGAAGATTCACAGTTTACCGATGAATCCCTCCGGAGCTTCGCCCATTCATCATCATTCACCCCGTGAATATGCCGTAATTTTTTTTTCTTTACTGGACCCCTTTTTGTCCACCTCAACATTAAAACCACCAATCGGAAAATCGAACAATTTTGAATAGGACATAGACCTAAAGAATGAAACGCAATTAGAAAAATGACTCAACGACGTAATCAAAAGCGTTTCAGCTTAGGAAAGAGCCTATGGCGACGTGAAAGAATATTACTTATCCTGGTGAAGTACTTATTGCTAGACTTGTTGGTGTTTGCTGATCGTCCTGATGTAGCCCGAAAGCACAGATACGAAAACACGCACACATCAGGATGGGCACATACTACAGGGCTAACAAAGAAATATTAATCACAAAAGAAGTACAGGAAAGCGATATCATTTTTGTTATTCCCGAAACAAGCAATAAATTACATTTTTTACAAATACCAAAATATCTTCAATATAATAAAAATGAACACATATGCGAATCAGAGTTGAAAATTTTTTAAATAATTTGTACAGAGAAAATATGCTCAACTCCCAATGAAGCACGTATGTTTTACTTTTTGACATGTATGTATTGCGTATGATTACCGTTGCCTGTGGATTCCCCAACGTATGTGTTACTTGAACGTTCAACTACCCAAAGTCATTGAGAAGTGCGCCATTAGTGAGTAACAAGCACGCTATTGGTGAACGTGAGAATCACTCGAATACCTAATTCACTGAAACGAATGCCAATAAGCCCCGAAAACACAATAAGCGACTACGGAATTCTGTAAGCAGCTCAGTGAAAAAAAAGAAGCGCAAATCCGCATTTTATAAACAAAACTGGTAATTCTACCCTGCACTTACCGTGTGGATAAAGTGTACTAGAACACTTTAAGTCAACTCTCGTGAGGATACGAAGAGGGCACAGCATTGACTACGTATGCAGCACAGAACAATTGTGCTTTCCCATCTTTCTTCCCCATTCCCCCTTCCCCTGGTGCAGGGTAGCAAGCCGGATGCTCCATTTTCTGGTTAACCTCCGTCTTTCCCTCGTTTTATTCTCTCTCTCTCTTATGCTACGACAAAACTCAGCGCTTATCTAACAAAGTAACGATGGTTTCGTTACAATGGCGTCATCCTGCCACAACAACTGATGCCCTGAGTACCCCGCTAATCTTGATACCCTTATAAGAAGCAACCACTTTTAAGAAACTGTTTTATTCTATAGATAACTACAATAACAGTGTGTTAGGAAATCATCACGGGCTGAAGTTTGCTGGAGCATCTAGCCCCTGATACTGATAGGCAAGATAGACCACAAATCAAAGGGCCGCGAAGAATACCAGGATTTTTTCCTGCGATTTCGTTACAACACATTGACGGTCACGTGTGAAGTCATTAAAGAAAACAGCAAATAAGTGAGAGTGCAATGTAACTTGTTTATAGAAAAAATTCTATCACGTGCCTCATACCTGGCGACTCATCATCTTCTCCTCCGGAAACTGCATCCAATGGACCTCGTCTTCTGGACACAGCTCGCCGTCGAGGAAGCAGACTTTGACTCCCGTCTTCCACTGCTCGTAGCAAGGCTCGCACAAAACATGGCGACATGACAGGAAGGCCGTCTTCCTAGCCACGACTCCGCAAGCACTGCACACTCTGATGTCATCGATTGGTTCCACGAAGTTGAGCGTACTCCAGTCGAGGTTTCCGGAAAATCCGAACACCGGGTACGGATGAACCTCTGGAAGCATGGCGACAGGGGAACACGCCTGCAGCACTCGTGTCTCCGGAGTATAGCAACTACGGCTCGCTACATACGGGTAAGAGAAGCGCCTGTTTCATCTGAGTGCTTCGCTTTGCGTTTACTGTAATCGCGTTTCTACGGCAACGACTCCGATGGCCCTGTGTACTCATCCGATAACGCTCTGTTTTTGTTCGCGAGGTGCCGTTTATCGCATGAAGCGCCGACGAACACTTACAGCCGATAGAAAACTTTCGGCTGATAGCTGTGACCTCTACTCGTGTGTCTAATTTAAACTGGAGCAATGAAAATATTCACGATTTCCAAAACTAATCTGTCGTTTGACGAAGAATTAAAACATCATTCTCGCACTTCTGAGTGCAGTTGAACAGCGACGAAACTTGAGCGAATGGGAGGTTTGGGCGCTTGTGAACACAGTTGATTGACAGATGTGTGGAGTTTAACGTCTCTAAACCACCATATTATTATGAGAGACGACGTAGTGGAGGGCTCAGAAAATTTCGTCCGCCTGGTGTTTCTTAACGTGCACCCTAATCTAAGCACATGGCCCTACAGCACTTTCGCCTCCATCGAAAATGCAGCCACCGCAGCCGGGATTCGATCCCGCGACTTGCGGGTCAGCAGCCGAGTACCTTAGCCACTAGACCACCGTGGCGGGGCTGTTGCGAACGTTTGTACTGAATAAGTTAAGGCCGAGTACCTTAGCCACTAGACCACCGCGGCCAGGCTGTGGAAGCAGTCTTTACAGTTGCTCTGAGGAGCGCGAAACGACGGCACGAGGCAAGAAAAACACAGTAACCTACTTAAAATAATATGTTACATACAGGGCGTCCCAGGTTACTTTAGACAGAGTTTAAATAATATGTCGACACACGCAATTACGATGCGACCAAGTGAATGTTGCTGATTGATTGCTTTGTGGGGTTTAACGTCCCAAAACCACTATTTGATTATGAGAGACGTCGTAGTGGAGGGCTGCGGAAATTTTGACCACCTGGGGTTCTTTAACAAGTGAATGTTGCTCACCGTTGCTTGAAGTTAGTCAGACTATTTATCGTGTTCTCAAGTTTTTTATTTGATCTGTATAATTAACTAACTTTTCAAGAAACGAATATGGATGAAAAATTTCATTCAAAAAGTTGTAGATCGGTTTTCAAAACGCCATATTAGACATTATTGAACGTTATATCTGTTAGGTATTAGTGTTTTGCTGCTAATTACAAATGCCCACGAAATACAACAAATACCGCGTGACAAACCCGCTCGTGCGCCAGTGCGCACAATGTTTCTAGTGCTCCCTAACTATCCGCGTACAAACGTGCATAGATTTGCCCCATTGTGCTGTCTCGGCAGGGCCGCAACGATGATGGTGGCTTTCCGATGAACACATTTTGCTATCGGCCGCAAAAACAATAACCGATGTGACTGCTTATCGCTGTCATGAACCGGTGCGAGGGAAGCGTGTCATTCGTACGCGGAACGTTAGGGAGCACTTGAATCATCTTGCGCACTGACGCGCGAGCGGGTTTGTCACGTGGTATTTTGTGTTTCGCGGACATTTGCAATTAGCAGAAAAACACTAATACCTAACTGATATAAAGTTCAAAACTGTCTCATTGGACGTATTGCAAACCAATCTATAACTTTTTAAATGAAATTTTTTATCCATCTTCGTTCCTTAGTTAATTTTAAAAGTTAAAAATTAGTTAATTAAACAAATCTAACAAAACAGTATTTCAGAACACAAAAAAATAGCCTAACTCCAGGCAACCGTGAGCAACATGCATTTCGCCGCATCGTATTTACGTCTGCCGGCATATTTTTAAACTGTGGCCAAAGTTACCTGGGACACCCTGTAAAAGTGCAGTGTAGCTATCTTTGCTAGAAGTAAGGTAGTTGGTGGCTGCACCAGGCGCGACGGGTATGCGGCGCAGAAAGCAGCTATGTGCTCAGCCGCTCTTATAGGCGGCTCTGCTGAGACACGCATTGGAGGGGGACGAGAACTGATATTAGGGTGAAGATGAAGGAAATTAGGGGGGTAATGTAAAGCAAGTGTGCGCCACAGAGAGAGGGTATGTGCTAAGCAACTCTAGCTGGGCTTAGTGTAGTAGAGCATGGTGTTGTGTAGTAGAGCAAAGGGGTGCATGGGAAGCGGAAATGAGAGTGCGGAGGATTTATTCGAGGCATTAAATGAGCAGGGAACAAGGTAAAGCATTGCCTAGCCCAATGTACTTAAATTTCGCAAGGAGATGACCAGGTCAAGGCCGGAGGATTGATTTTACGCTGAGGAGTAAAGAAAGAATATGATCAGAGGGTAAACCGAAACGCAACCATGTACAGTGAAATACCGCAATGTATCGAAAAGAGGAGGGCGCAAGCAGGAGTGATGTGAGGGTTGGGAGGAGAAAAAAAACAAGGGAGAGAGCAATGTTGATAGAGGCAGAGTAAGACAGAAAGATTAAAGCAAGAGGAAGACGAAGACAGAACGCAATCTAGCTGCATTAACCTCAGGGTGCCCCTTGCGTGCCAGCTCCTTTGTTTACCGAGAATGAATAGCTGTGGAATTGACTTTAGCTATCTTAGTACAGCAGCAGACTAACAAGCAGTATTTATATTAAAGAATCTATAATTTATTTTTTAATTCAAGATCTGTCAATTGCGTCGCGACGTAGAAGAAGCATCGAGCCGACGCCGAACGCGCAGCTGTGAATATTCATGGCTGCTCAAGAACATCTACGCGATACCGTTAATGAGCTGGTTTTCCAGAAAATATGATTTCGGCATTGGTGATTTCGGATTTCGGCATTGGATTTCGGCAGAGGCCATCGATAAAGCTTCTCAATATCAGCGAAAAACACGGACCACGCAAGCATCGGATGGTCCCCCTAGAGGCTACAGTCACTCTGCTTGCCTTTCGCTTCGTGTTTGCGTCTGACGGCTCATTGGTAGAGTATAGCACGGCTTCAACAAGCCCCAAAGGTGTGTTTTTTTCGCCACCAACTGCTTCGAGTGTGATCCCACCGACTGATAAATCTACTCCAACGAGCGCTACGGAAAGGCAACGATGTCGACAAGCAAGTGTCGTGCCTTGAGGGAACCAGACGGTGGCCAGTGGGACGTGGGACGTGGAAAGACTGCGCTCGTTGGCGGCTCAAGCTGCGAACCGTTGCTTTCCGTGTTGCAAAAGCGCAGTGTGGTGATATATGCATGATCGTGGATTTAGATTGCCCTACTACCCTGGAGCACACACCATGCCGTTTCTCTCCCTAAGTTGCAATGCTTTGGAGAAATGCATATCGATTTTCATAGTTTATTATGTGTTTCTTGGTGTCACCTTTGCCCAGGATTCACGATGCTTTGTGTCCAAGTATAGGATAACAACATCAGCTATACCAGCTGTTAAATCATGGTCATTTGCGTTGTGATTCGCAATAAAAAGGTGCCCCTATGCTTCAGCGTGGATGCCTCCACGTCGGATACTGCTATAGCAGCGAAACGCCAATAATAAATGTGCAAGCTCTCGTATATCTCTACACGATAAGCACTACTTCTGGGCAGACACCTTTCGATTTCGTTTTATACCAATTCCTACGAATGAGAAACCAACCATTTTTTGGCTTTATTGAAACCGGTGCCTTAGTGATCGCTCCAGAATCGCATTTTCAGTATTGACAATGAACTCCCAGTGGCGTTCTTCTGCGAGGTTGGAGCATGGACACTGTGAATGAGACCTTTGATGACAGCTCTGAGCTCATCTTATTTTAACTTATCAAGTTGAAGACTGAGAGAGGGCTCAAATTTGGTGCTGCCGAAAGAGAGCAGAAACAGGAAACAGTGCGCATTCGTTCTCAGAACTCTGTCGTTTGTATCTTTTAAATATGTAGCATATTTCTTTTAATGAACAGACATTGAGAGGACGTATAGATGAAAACTAGGTCTGTTTTTATTGTTGGAATCTTCACTGATCTTCGAAATATTAGCACTGTGGACTAAGTGCTAAAGCAGATCGGACACAATATTTGCAAGTATAGTCACCGTTACATTTTAAAATGCACTTGTTCTTCTTTGTTTCTTTCTTTGGGTGAGGGTATTTGAACTTATCCGTTCCATCTGAATCAACTAACCCTGTAAAATTATTGCTAAAGATGCGTTTTTGTCCTAACTGTGTAATGCCATTGTATTTCTTTTTTCATTTGTACACTCTCATTGATCTTTTATGTGATTATCAAAATTGAAGTTGGTACATTGTTTTAAAGCTTTATTTTTTGATCTGTTTCACTTGCATTTTCTGTCTATATATGTTCATATGTAAATATTCACACATTCCTTTACAGTACTAATATGCATTCTTTTACAGGTCTAATTGAGCGACATAGTTGTTGTCTGATTTATTTTATACCATAATGTACACTCTCCTATCCCTGCCACTTTGTACGGGGTCGTGGTACTAGTCAAGCCCGTGAAGAGGCTTTTTGACCCCTGCCCTCAGCATCCCGAATGATGGTATGTTGGAAAATAAAAAGTTCAAAGTTCAAACTAGATAACAATAAACTACCCTGCGTTTAGACGCTGATGCGATTTTGGTTAACTATAAGATTTTGTAACATGCAACAGGAAAGGATATGCTCTATTAACGACACGGGTAAAGATTAACTTTCAGTTTTCGTGCCTCAATGCGTCTGCTGTTTCAAAACATTTGTGTGAAGTCAAGGCTGTAAAGTTTAGAAGTTTGAATTGTTTAATTTAGGGGCAGTTCAACGTTCGCAATTGTAGTGAGTTGAATTTCTGCCGAGTACAATTGCAATTTTTTGAGAATTGAAAGAGAGCCAGCATTCCTAAAGGGGCCCTGAAACATTTTCTTGAGTAACCATGCAATTAATTCACTGGAAGAGCTTATTACTTCACAAATTGAATGCCGCAAAAGTTTTGCGAATCCTTCCAGTGCGAACGAAGTTACAAAGATTTGTCACACGCTGCAATAGCATTCTCTCTTTCTCTCATACCGACGAAAGCCCTGGAAGCTAAGGTGGGAAAGATTGGAGAGGCAAACGAAAAATGCCACGC